CATTTAACTGTGACTGGTCTCCGCTTGTGAGCTGCTCAACGTGCTTTTAACATGTGATTGCTGCACATTTTGATCTAAAGAGGGCTGACGCACTAAGCTGTGCAAGGCCAAGTGTACAGTTACACAAACTGTAATCCTATTTTTCCAAATGAATTCTGCTTACTGGCCATTCATCAACAACATATGAGTTTTATTTAATTATTTTTTTGATTTTTATTATTCTTATATAACTTGCATTTTTTATTCCATATTTGTAATTTTCTAGATTTATTTATGTCAACTGTAGGTTTGTCTACATGTTGCACCTTATCACCAAAGCAAATCCCTCGTACATGTAAAATTCTACTTGGCAATAAAGCTCTTTCTAATAGAGCTAATTAATGTATATTTGGACACGCAGACATTTTAGTTTTTTTAAATTCAGGTTTTGACCATTTAAAAGTTAAATGGTTAAAAAGAACATAAGTATCTTGTTATAGAACCTGTTCCTCTGATTTATTCACAAACCTTACTGTTTTATAAAGACGGTCACATCGACTTTCAAATAAAACTACTGGCAGTGTACCTCCAGTGTACCTCAGCAACAGATATCTTAAAACCTGAGCAAATAAAACAAAAAATATCTACAAGGTGAAATAACACAAATGTGTCTTTTTGTAATGTTGGCCAAAAGTTTCAACTAGTTCTACTACAAAGCACCTGTGACAAACACACCATGACACACAGAAGGCCTTTTGAACTAAATGCACACACTCCTGCCTTCTAGGCCAAAGACTGTCTAGTGTTAGTGTTGCCTCCGATCATAACTTAGTATGAGTAATATTTTATGTGCAATCTTAATTATGAGGTCAACCCCATTCCATCAACTGTGCGGTACAAGCACACGCACCACCATACTTGTTAAACTCCCCTGACAGGAATCTGCAACAAAAGAGTCAGTGTGACATTAGTCTCTGTGATCTTCCCATTTTACAAATGATACAGAGTCACTCTAAAGTAGTTATTTTACAGATGAATGGTTTTAAGAAGACGGAGGTGTTTTCCTGCCCTCATTTCAGAAAACGAGGGGAATTCCCTAATGTACAATATAGTCATAGGTACGATCGAGATGTGAGTTATTGAGAGAAACAAGACACAGAGACAGTAATGAAAGGCATCATAATAATCTACCTCTCATATTCTGTTGGGGTCTGACATGTCATGCCAGTGCTTCTCTCGAGGGACATATATGGCTCCTGCTCCTCATAAATGCCCTCATCATTATACATTGAGATCTGCCAGGCAGCAGGCTGCGAGAAGGAGGTCCGAGGCGAGGTCACTGCACTTCCCATATGCACATTCATGTAGTCTGGTATCTCTTCGTAGTTAGGGAAGTTCTCATAGTAACATGCATATTCTGTTTCGGGAGACAACTCATCTCCGTCCACGCTTTGCTCTACTCCAATCAGCGGCCAGGATAATTTGCGTTCAGGCTGCAGAAGCTCGTGGAAGTTCTGACATCCTTCCTGGTCCCTGTCCACACTTTGTTCATTGTCATTTGCAGCGTCATCTGGGCTCTGGCCTTCTTTTACTGTCAGCTTGGGAAACTTCTTCACCGAGAGCTTCAAGTCCAGAAGTTTCCGGAAAGAGTTCCTCTTCTGTCCCTCAGAGCGAATGAGGTCAGCACCAGAGAAAGACTTGGCTCTCTGTTTACTCCGACTGGACCGAGAATGCTTGGTGGTTTCAGCTGTTAAGAGGTTTCTGCTTGCTTTATTGTCTGGAGGCAAAGGCAGCTCCCTCTTCACTCTTTCCTTCAAAACACCATTTTGTATAGGAAGGTCCTGCCTTTTCCCATTATCTCCTAATTCCCCCTCTTCTTTCTCCTCAGAGGATTCCTTCTTCTGCATCCATGCCATCGGGCAGCTGCGTCTCTGGGGCTTCTTCTGAGAAACCTTGACAACCCCATCCTCTGCTGCCCCAGTGATGGCAGGAGGCTGGCTGAGTTGACTGAGCGAACTACTACAAGTGTAGACTGCCTCCTGATCATGTGTTCCTTCCTCCTCCTTCTCCACCTCTTCATCCTCCTTGTCAACCGATACTTCCATCTCATGGCTGCTGCTGTCCCAACCCAGGTCTTCCTCCTCCACATCCTTTGGGACTGTCTGAGAAGCAGAGGTTGGTGCTTTGTTGTCAGGTGCAGACAGAAAAGGCTTTTTCTTGGGCGGAGGAGCTGGCCCAGCGCAAGCTTTTCTCACAGACAGAAATACTGGTTCAGGTATACTGACAGACGGTGATGAGCTGCCCTTCCCCTCTGATGACACCTTCACCTCTTTGACGTTCATTTCCCTCCCTTTCTCGCTTACAATCTCTTCCCTCTCCTCCTCCACCTTTTCCTGACGGGCCAGCACAGCCGCCCTGGGTTTCCGTGGTACAGGGACAGGGATGGGCTTCCTAGGGACTGCTGGGACTGGTTTGGGTTGGGGTGCACAAGATATTTGCTCTGAGCCAAAAGTATCTTCCTTTGGTCCTCGCCCAGGTGCACTCTGAGATATTACGTTACCATTTGCCTCATCGCTCCATGTTCTGTGAGGAAGGGATGGTCTAACAGTCCTGTTAATTATGTCTGTGTTGAGATTTTTGTCCAAAGTAAACGTTTCTTGAAGAGGTTTATGGGTTGTGAGGTCGGTATTGGTGGAAGCAGTGTTCATCACTTGGCACTTGGCATTGTCTGTTTTCTCTCCGCTGTTATCCAAAGTACTTCGCAATGTAGGGAGAAACTTTGTGTTTTCTTCAGTTTTATCCTTATGCAATGTTTTCAAGTCTTTCTCCATTTTGTCTTTGTTTGTTGATGTGTTCCTCATACACATGCACTTTTCATGGCTACACAGACAAATAGGAATAATATAATCCCATTCTGGCTTTTTGTTCTCTTGCTGTATTCCATTTTGGGAGTTAATAAGACCTTTGTTCTGCGGCATTTCTGTTACAGATGTTTGATGCAGGCTCTTTAAAGCAAGTGGTTTGGACTCCAAAGCAGTGGTGAGTTTAGAGAGGCAGGGTTTGGGGGCCAGTACTGGTTTAATCCTCCTCTGTGCCCCAGGAGACGGGAGTGAGAGACCGTCTCTTCTTGGGGTTGAGGGAGACACCCCTGGCCTCTGCGGCTGGATCAGCTTTGGTTTGGGGGCCACAGGTGGCTTGTGCATTCCTGAGGAGAGAAAAACCAAAGATGTGCACTTGAGATTTTGTGTAAATCTGATCTGAATCAGAGCCTATTGTATAGGCTAGAAAATATTTTCAAATCTGAAACACAGCAAAAAGATTATGGATCTAATCTGACACAATAAAAGCATACTCTGAATATCTGGATGGTATATTTGATGCTTCTTCAGTAGTCTGACAGATGTTCCCCCAATGAGAGTTCTATAGCACTGATCCTGACCTAGTAACAGCTTAGTGTAAAACTGCAGTAAAGTGCTAACCCCTGCTCCCCAGGGGGTTCAAATAGCACATGCTATTTATTTGCCACTCCACACAACAGCACAGTAATCCAGCGAATGGCCCATGTCAACAGGCAGAGCAGATGGGAGATGAAGAGTAGGAAAGAAATGAAGGAGGGAGCAAAGACTGGAAAAGAGTCAGGCAAACTGGTGTTTCTGGCTGAACTAGAGTCTTAAATTCTTCTGTGGTGGATAAAACAGTAACATGCTGAAGTGCTGATAGGAAGGGATGTTGCTTTTTGGAAATCATATATTTCCTTGTTCAGCAAGCCACAGTTTGACATTGGATGACTCTAGAAATCCACAAAAACAATTTCATTGATTTTGAATTGGAGATTGGGCAGAACCAACCACTGACTGACAGACAATTGTGAGATATGCTGTATATATGAGAGACAGGAGACATTCCACCTGGATGTCCCAAACACCATAATAGGCTACATTTCTAAAGAATCCTATGATTGCCAGTAATTTATCTGTAAAAGGCACACAGGTATGCACCTGCACAGTCTGTTATTTATCTTTTCTGTTGCTTTTATCTTGAATATGTTAACACACTTATTCAACTGTTCAGTTTGCAAAATAGCTTCAGCTAGACACCCTTCAGTATATGCGTAACATCTGTTGCATTGCTTCTAACTGTGTAGTGTATCTGCATTGTCCCTAAGAAATAAATACATAGGCTACTGATTTGTAATTTATTTGGTCAGACTTGAGCGCTGGATCACTAAAATCTGTGACCAGTAGGATCAACAAGTAACGAGATTCCTGCCACTTACCTGACTTCATCATTGCTTTACTCTCTTCGCTTCTGTTGTTCCAATTTTTATCAGTCAACGCGGTAGCACAGACCGTCCCGTGTGTCCGGATACGTTGCAAGAAGTCGACTTTAAGTAAGTTATCTGTCAGTCATCAAACATCTACATTTTCTCCGCGTCTGTCCGAGCAACACGTGATCCTTCGGCGCACAGTTGATTCTCACTGAAGCCATCTGGCTGTCTGCCAGTGGTAAGTACCAGTTGGCTTACTTTTTGTTACCATAAACAATCCACTAGGGGTCCTCAGGAGCTACAAACTGCCAGAGTCAAAACAAAATGTTGGGAACTGTGAAGCAAAAACCAGTGTGACATTAACAGAGTCTGAAGTGTATAAGAGAAAATCCGGAATACTTTGATGTTGTTACTGTTAAGTTGTGTAAACTACAGTCCACTCCCCATCAGATCAATAATTCTACCCAAATGCATTTTAGACTTTCTGGGTACTCATCATTACACAGGAATTTTCCAGTGCTACACGCACATATCTTTCCACATACATCATCATCATCATTCCTAATATTAAACCCCAGTATGACTAAGAACCTAAAAATATGAGTGGAAGCCAGCTGATACTTTGTCAGCTATATTTAATATAGTTGAGGAAGTAAAATTCATGATGTAACTTTGTCACCAGGTTTATTTATCAGTCTGTAGGAACAGCCCTGGCTAACAGAAGGAAGGGAGACAAAAAGAAAACACAAAATAGTAATAATTCAGTGTTTTTATTAAATCTGCACATATTCACTCAAAAAATATTACAATAATTACACATATTTCCTACTGATGTTTTAAACAAAATAAAAAGGCCATTAGGCAGAGTGAATTTAAACATTTGCAGTAAATGATTATGCCTCTAAGAGTTTCCAGTGTACTCCTTAATGCCCAGTGCAGTTTGCAGTTTGATTACAATTCAAGTGGACCGATACAGATATAACCCCATCAGTCTTTTTTTGGTTTGATACAAATGTCTCTCTGTCGTTGGTGTGATATCTCAGGAACTTGATTTTTTTTTCTGTTCAGGAAAGAAGACATTAGACAGGTGATTTAGTCAGAGATCATTAACGCTGTGTTAAAATCAAAGGTGGTAAAGTTTATAAGAAGACATCAAATAACATTCAGGAACTTGCAGCAATCTAAATATGAATTAATTCATGTACCTCTCATTGGCCATTTCCGTTTCCACTGAAGCAGTCAGTCTTATGTCATCTCCTCTTTTCAGTGTTGCATCTTGTGAGTTGTGTGCAAATGTGGCTGCAAGGGTATTCACTTGATCACTGCACAGGAAGGATTAAATATGATCACAATCAAAGTAGTAAACTTAGTTAAATCTGTATCTCTAAAATATATTTTTGTAAAGCAATTCATCTGTGCTTTGAAGGACTTGTTTTTATTTAGTTTGTTTGTGGTTACAAGTGTCCATCACTCACAATTGTTTTAGGTTGATTCCCTTTACATTCACACTATGTCACACTGGGTATGGTGCAGTAGTACCTGAACATGTAGTCTGAAGGGAGACTCAGACCTAATCTGTAGTCTCCCCTGGATCTGGAGATTTGCTTTTGAAGGTCCCTGACTGAGCAGCTGTGACCCCTGAATATGTAGCCCACAAACAGCAGCTTCCCTCTGATGTACATCTATGGCAATAACAAGGAGAACATTATATTGTCATTGTTATATTTAAAAAGCATCAGTTCATGTATTTTTGTTTAGATGACAGAGAAGTGGTTTGCACCACCATGTTGATTCTATTTTTTCTCAACATAAGTCATATCAGTCATGCTCTGTTTTTTTAGATCTCATAATAGAGGAATTTACAGGATGCATACGCAGTATCCTGTCAGTCATAAAAGCTTCTCTTTCTGAGTTTCCAAGTAAGACTTCTTGGGCTGACATTTTAAAGTGCAGTTTTTCATGTCATGATTCTGGTTTTCTGTTTGATTTATGGACTTAAGGAGAGATTTTCATCTTACAGCAAAGATCTGTGACTGGGCTGAAAATAAGAGCTCCCTTTGGTAATTAAGAAGCGTCATCCCTCACTGCTTGTCAGCCTACAGTACTTTTATAATAAATGTCTGGGTTTCTGAGAAAGGACAGTGCCTAACTACAGTCCTCCTCACCCCATCTCTCCCACATGCTGTCACCTGTTCTGCTTCAGGCAGGCACTGCTGCTGCCACCCAGTGGGAGCCATGAAAATAAGCACTGAGCAGAGCCTGCAGCCTTTGGCCAAGCCTGCAGTGGGTTTACTGACCAGGACCATCCCAGGAGCTGCATTGTGTCTCTGCTGCAGCAGGATGTTCTCCATTCCACAGCTGTGCTTTCCTGTTGACATCTCGTACCTCACCAGGCGGAATGAATCCATCTGGCACTAGATTAAAAAAAAAACTGTTACTGAGTTTCCAGAAATGCATACTGTACAACAGCCTGCTGACTGTAGTGTCTTTCACTGACACTTTGTTTTTTTTAGCCTATGCGAAGCTATGTTGTCTTTGTAAAATGTAAATTAGTATTACAAAGCATTCCTGCACATATAGTTAACTGTACATGCTGATTATGTAAACTAGATGTTATTTAACTACAGTGACACAACACTGTAACTGGTGCTTGGCTTTGTATACATACAGTACATCATAGCCAAAATAAGAGACTTTTTTCTTTTTTCATTATATTTCTGTCTGTATATAATTCACACCTGAGTACAGGGCATGGTTCTGTGCCTGTTCCTCCTCCTGTAAAGCTGCTCCAACACATCCTGGTCAGGCACTGCCTGTGTGTGGATGGGTTGGCACAGCAGAGTCACACACACCACCAGGATTTGTTGACTGTGTGGAGGCTGGCCCATAATAAAGGCATCGTACTCCAGGTCTGTTACCACTGGCATCAGCGTAGCGCTGCAGCAGCACCGCCTGCGTCCACCCTCCCCCAGCAGGGCAGCTCTCAGCAGAGGAGGGCACACTGTGAGGGGGTTGGAGGGAGTGAAGGATGGCAGGGCTGGATAGCGGATGACAGCAGAGGGCTGCAAATCTGGACTGTTTGGAATAATCACTGACCTGGCAGGGTGGGGGTGACAGTGAATCAGTCACTGTAAATATACTCTCGCTCTTATAAAACTGCAGTAAATGTTATTTTCTACACAAAGACACTTGAATGACTTTATAATGGTCATGCCTATCAGTAATACAAGTGGGTCTTACTCAAGTTTGATGTTGCCATGAATTTGAAGAGGTCCTATCTGTGTGACATGGGTCTCCTCCTTTGTTCGCTTTTTTGGTGTCCTGGCAACATACAGGTCAAAACAGGCCTTACATAATGCAGCATACATCTGTGCAAAGTCTAGCTGAGCTCAAGCACTTCAAACTGATCAATAAACAAAGTGTTTCTGTCACTATTACAAAATCAATCACTGGCCTCCGTTTAAGGACATACAGGAGGACACCTATGCATGTAAGCACTTCCTCGTTTACATGCATTTGCTTATAAATACTCAAAAACATGGTTTCAACAGTGTATAAAGTGTTAAGTGTTACAGTGTGTTTGAAGATAAAATGCCAATTAATCTCTCCACCATGAACTATGTACTCTAAACATTTTATATTACAAGAGTATTTCAGTGATTTAGTATTGTAGTTTGATTAAAGGGGATTCACATGAGAAACAGGCTTGTTAATGCAACTTAATAGTGTCTTTCTCTTGAACCTGTCTACACGGTAAACACTCATGTGGGGCTACAGGATTTGAGGGAAATATCTAATAGCGTTTTTTCTGACATTTGTGATGATTATTTTCTATAAAATAAACTTACAATCACGTATTTTTCTGTCCACAGAAACAAGTTGTGAGAGTGGTTTTAAGTTAAAATGGCGAACTTGTTGCAAACATTATTTACAAATCCAACAGTTACAGAGCCACATTATCATTAGTTTGGAGTTGTGCTTCTGGCCACCTGATAAATAAGTGTTTTTGGTCTCTAAATGCTCCACTCTGTTCACCAGATAGTTGCTAACTGTGTCTGTCTTCTGTTTGGCGCTGAGCAGGTAGTGTACTGTGGGGTTTTACAGCTTTTCTGTGACAACAGCTGCCGGTTGTGGCTGAAGTTGTTGTTGTTGTGGCAGTGAGAATGTACTGAAACAGTAAAGTTGTGGGCTAAACACTGAGCTGAAACGTGCTATAAAGCGCTGTAAAGCTGAAAAGAGCTGCAGATTTGGGTGATAATTCTCTATAGGGTCGTCACTACAAGTAACACTGCCTCAATGTTTTCATACTGTCCTTTCATACAGTAAACTGTTATAAAAATACTGATTATTGCCATTTTAAACTCCAGGCCTTTGTTTGTGGACTACATTTTTAAACAAGATTCAGTATGCTTGTACCAAACACAGCAGTTACAATATAAACAGAATAAGAAAAATAATTTCTTGTTATTTGGGTCCTCCAAAGTTAGTCAACTACAGCTGAGTAAATATGTCAGGAGCAGTTGTCATCATAGCTGGTGAAATCAACAATCGCCAGCTAAATCTTTCACCCCCTACAGCTTGTTAAGACACTGTTTAGCTTCTTTAAATCTGTGTATTGGTGTAAAGTGTGCACCTTGGCATCTTGATGTAGGAGTCCAGCATTCTTTCTGCTGGTGCTGACAGATGTCTGTGCAGCTCCTGTAACTCATTCCTGGCTTCCTCAGGCTGGACTGGTTTAGCGTCTGCCCGCTCAGGTGGGTTCAGGGAGGGCAGAGTAGCTGACTGTACCTCTCTCCTCAGCCTGGTCCTCAGTGGGGCATCTGGCATCCGCTCTATGTCAGGACACTTGATCCCTGAAGGAGAGGAAGAGGTCACTCAGAAATGCATACAGACACCGAGTGACACGAGTGACCGTGAACAAGATCCTGATGGAACTATTCAATAATGTTGAGTTTGCAAGAGAAGGTGATACTGTAACTTTTTGCTTCACTGAACTACTTTAAACAACCTTACCGGGTCAGATTGGCTCAATGTTACTTTTATTTGCACTACATGCTTTAATATTTCATAATGTACTGTACATCACACCCACTGGTTGCAGTATGAGCACACATTACACATTTCAGAAAAGCTGGAAAGGCTGTGTTCAAAGTCAGGTACCAATGGCCACACGATAATAATCCAGCCAGTTATCCAGGGTGTTTCGTGCTCTCTGCTGAAGCCTTTTCAGCTCCCTGCCGATATGCCCTCCTCTTCTCCACTGTTCTGGCAGCTCCTGCACCTCTCTGACCATCTGGAGGACCTCCCGGGAGCACACAGACACCTGCCATACATCATTACTTGCATGGTAGATCATATGATATGAAACAACATAGGGTATTTAGCAAGCGAAGGCATTTTCAGAACTCAAAGGTATTGCTGTCATACTCTTTTAGAGCATAAAATAAATTGGGCTGTTATTTTGATGTTGGAATATATATATTTATTTGGTACATTCACCGAGGCATCATATGGTGATAAAAAGTCTCTTAAAGGTGTTAGCGTCAGGTTCCTCTTGCTCTCTTGGACCACAGAAGGGGATTTTGTTTTCCTCGTCAGCAGGAGGCCTTGAGCAGCATCAGAGGCAAATTGCCCTTCAGTCTGCAAACAAAGCTGCCAATGCAGTGGAGACATTATAGATTACAAGTGATTATTATAAATATGATGGTAAATATTTTTTCTTTCACCTACTTGATCTTAATCTCACCGTTTCCTTTGATTGGTTCATGTTAAACAGGACAGATAGAGGAAGTTGAACTCTTTCGTTGTTACACCTGAAGGTGAGCGTGGCAGAAGTACCACTGAGCAGCCTCACAGAGATTAGATCTGACAACTGTAGGAGACAAAGAAAACCCCAACACATTTACAGGTAAAACGGAAACGCTCTTTAAAAGAAATAGCTATCAGTATCATAAGCACTAAATTCTAGTGAATTAATGCATGACCATCTAATCCGTACACTATACACCTGTTATAAAACCTCTCCTGGTCGTGTCAGAGACGGTTAGTGTTCATTTATCAGTAGGTCATGCGTCATACCTCACATGCCCTTCTTTGTTTCCCCTAAATGTGACATTTCACATATGCACATCTCACAGTAAACTCATATGAAAGGCTCACTTCAGATGCTTAGTCCCCCTGACTAGCCTTGTCACTAAATATATTTCTTGTCTGGAGATTAACTATTGTCTCTATGTAACATGTTGCTGAGCATACCAGTTTAGACACTGACGCTCTGTCAGGGAGTGAAATTAAGTGACAAGATTTGACTAAACAGAGAGAAACTTCTTTCACAATAAAAATGTTGCCAGGTGGCTCTGTTTGTTAATTGCTCAAGTGCACTTAAGACAGTTACAATATATATGTCATAGGTAGAAAAAGTTGTAGTAGACTCAAAAGTCACTATTCTAGTAATGTGGCTGCACCTGTATAACAATCTTCTCTCTGTGTGTGCGGCCTGTCTGCCAAATCCACTCCTTATTTATGTTCCCATGATGGTCACATTTGAATCCACCATCCTGGTCCCACACCGCTGTAATGGCAGAGCTGCAGGAATATAAGTATCATCAAAAGCTGTCACACATACAGAATGAAAGTCCGACCATTTAAAGGCATTCAGTATTTCGGAGAAAACACTTTTTTTTGCTTTCTTTAAAGGAGTGAGATGAGAATGTTGATAATAATGTCACGTAAATGTGCCTTTCTAGTCTTTTCGACCACTCAAAGCGCTTTTACACTACATCTGCACCAGTCAAACACATTCATATACTGAGCCTAAAGCCTAAGTGCTCAAACAGAAACAAACTTTCACACACATTCATACACTGGCAGAACAGCCGCCAGGGGCAATTCAGAGTTCAGTATCTTGCCCATGGACACTTCGACATGCATCCTGGGGGAGCCGGGAATTGAACCACCTTCCAATTAACGGCCAACCCGCTCTAACTCCTGAGCCACAGCCGTGTGTGTCAAAGAAGTCCTCCACTTATTTGTTACTGTACTTCCATTACTGACTGAGTAGTTCTTCATGTGTACAATTAGTGAAGTGCCTCATTCAGACATTTTCACATTTCAGCACTGAACTCACCTAAGAGGGTGTGTAGCAACCCCGTGTCCAAATGCTGTGATAGTCGCTAGAATAACGGGACACTCGCTGTCACTGAACACTGTGGTGTAGAAGCCTCCACAGGGCAGACCTGAGTAGCTCTGGCATACTGCCATGCAACCAGACGGGTAGCTGAGAGGGCATGGTCAAGTGTCAAAAGGTCAGCTGCAGTGACACATTTCCCATCCACCTTACACTACATTTGCTTCTTGGACAACTACTAGAATTTAAACAGCAATGTATAAACATGATGAGAGAAGGATACTATATGCACGAGGAGCCGTCGTTGATCCTGTAGTGTAGTTTCTGCTGCGCTGGATCCTGCTGCTTCACTTTTGGTATCCGGGGGATCCCATTGACTAGAGTGGCAAGTTGGGCTTTAGTCCCTGCATCCCTGTCCTTCAGCCTTGCCTTTGCATCACCATAGTGACGGATTATGAGGGTCTTTTTCGGGACCTCTTCAGCTGTTTGTAGTTTTCTGTCAGAAGATGAAGTATTTTTTATGCTTAAATAACTAATCTCTCAAGCTATCAAACTGGAGTTTTTGAGGAGTTACACTGTAAAAATTTTAACACCTGATGACCAAAGGTAAAATTTGGTAATGATATGTACACTCAATGCCATCGTTGCCCAAAACAGGGATATTAACTTAAATTAGTCATTAACAATAAAGCACGCTAGCAGACAGAACTATACTTTGAGCTAAGTGCTACCTTGACGCTCAATGACATCATGCTGATGTTTAGCAGGTATAATGTATACCATGTTCGCCATCTTAGTTTAGCATGTAAGCATTCTACCATAGAACTAAAAGGGTAGAGGGTGCTGTTGAAAAGTTAGGTATTCATCAAAGTTATTACAAGTCATCCTGAGTGGGGACATCAGTCACCAAAGTCAGTAGGATTCATTGTCTGGGAATCATATCTATACAACATTTTGTGTCAATAGATCTTGAAGTGTTTGACTGACCAAACAACCAACACTGCCATTATCAGTTAAGAAATTTTGGAAAGTAACCCCTAATTTGACAAACATTTGCTACAGGCTAAAAAACAGCAGGAAACGCACTCAGGATTTCTTGCCGCCTGGAGTCGCTCCACCACCCACTGACACAAACTGATCAGCTGAGGGTCATCACAGGAGGGCTGCATTGGCTGGGCGAACCAACCTGGACACAAATCAAATCCAGCTGAGGCAGCAGGGCCACAGGATTGAGACAGCCAACTGCAGAGACAGTCTCCCTCATGAACACAATGCTTCTTACCTGGATTTTTATAGATGTTGGATGACATGGAGAAGCTGATGGTTGTGGAGCTGGGAGCTGTTCGGGAGTGAGAATATCAGTCAGTGGTCTTAAATTCACCTTTCTGTTGAATCTGTACTTACAATACTGGCCATATATAAGTCATTACCAGTGACATCAGGGAAGTTAATGTAACTCAATAGCTCCGTAACTGATTAACAGACACCAGTACATCTGTGCCCAGCTACCTGCTACCTTGTCCTATCTGGAAAACCTATCCTCTCACTTCCACAAGCTTGCAACCAAAGTTGTCCTCAAGTGCAGCCTTCAGGGGTCCTGAGAAATTACTTAATGGGTTTTCACGCTCATTGATGTTGTCACTTACCTACATGAACTATAGCACATTAAAAATAGTGGGAACTTAAAATTGATCTGACTATGCTGTTTATCCTGCCTTATTCTCAAGAAATACTTTATTTTTACTTAATAAGTCATTTGTAAAACCTACTTTTGGGTTGCCAGGTTGTAAAAAAGGCCTTTTGGCTGATGTTTATCCTCCTGTAGTATAATGTTATTTGGCTTTGTATTTAGAAAACATTTTCTTAATCGTTTATTCCAATTTTAAATACTTTTTATACTACTGGGTATATTAGCAGTGTAATACTGAATCATATCATGTAAGTACCATATGTTATTTTATGTATAAAAGTAACTAGGAACTATAAGTGTCAAATAAATCTAGTAAAGAAAAGGTTAGGCTATACTACATTATTTCCCACTGAAATCTAGTGGAGTACAAGTATAAAGTAGCATACAATGGAAATTCTCAAATACTTTCCACCACTGGACATGTGACGCAGAGATAAATTTACCTCTACTGGATTTTTGTTTGCGCTTTTTCTTGCGTGGATTTAAGCTAACTTGTGGCCTTCCAACAGAGGGACCAACATTTTCTACAAACACGAGTTCCTCTCTCCTGCCTCCCTCTTGTCATTGCCAGACACCTGACGGGATCGCGCTTGATCCAACTTCAGGGAACCTTTGGACTTCCGTTTGTCAGTCTGTTCCGCCCTTTGCGAGTACTCTGCCTCCCCTGCAGTCAGATCCTTCCAGGAGTAATTCAGAATATTTACAATCCCGTGAGGAATACACCCCACCGCCTTCCACTGATGTTGTGAAAGTAGGCGAGCCAATTCGTTTAATAACGGAGGGGCTGCTTGCTTGTATGCATCCATCGGATCACGGTCCTTAACGTTCAGTGCAGCTCCGACTGCAGATGAGATATCAGGTTTACCATCCCCACGTGTTTCACCTGACAGTCTCTGAGTGAGCTCATCACCTTTGTCTTCTTTGTTTTCATTATCTCGACTACAAAAAACGTGAGATCATTTATTAGACATACTTAAGAAGCACAAATGTATGCTAAAATATTTTGGAGCAAGGGCATTTATTACCTTTGTGTTGTATCTTCTAACTGCGCCCTTTCATTTGCCTCATTCAAATACAAAATGTTCTTTCGTGTTCCTTTAATTCGTTTTGTTGGCTGCAGAGAGATCAATCAAGGTTAATCACTTGCTGTTTCTTTAAAACGACAGTCAGCAAAATTAATCATTATTGCCCACCTGGTCAAAGAAATACAAAGGACCAGTTGTGAATTCTGTCAGCGCACCAGAAGAACTCATTGTTTCCTTAAACATCCACTTGAATTTCCTCTGAAGATTCGCCACACACAGGTAAAACGCAGCAGGCTATTCGTCCTTGCAACAAAATATCAACAAAACCAAACTGTAGGCTATCCACCTTTCACTTCTGTTAATGTCCACTCGGTGTGCTGGGCTTGTTGCTTGGATACACTGTGCGCCCGTCTCCAAATAGCCTGCTCGCGTTATGCACCGTTAATGATCTACCCCGGGCATCAAACTGAAAGGCTTTTTGTGACAATACAAACAACACTACAACGGTGAAACATTACTTACACTCACAGATAATGTGTCGGCAACATGGATACACAGGAGAAGTGACAAGTCTTACTGAGGAGCTGCAGTCACAGGTGCGCGCAAAGACGGGTAACCTGAAACTCAGCGACTTGATCAGAGAAAGTGATGATTCCAGCACGCAGTGCAGCTTTTACGGGTCATTAATTAGACACTGGGGCACTGGTGTTGTGTTGCTGTCCTATTACAGTTTGTCCCAAACTGTTATTTTCCCTACAGACAAAAATCTGATGATAGGCTATGAAAGTTTTTGCTCCTCGGGACAGAGGAGGATCGTCTTCCTCTCCCTGGGTCAAGTTGTTGCACAGAGATTGTCTTAATAGCTCATTATTGGCTCAGCGTCTTCCTACTGCACACTTTTCTTCTTTGACCACTGGAGGCTCCCAGCAGCTTATGCGTCACTTCATCTCTCAGTCGCTGATCATGGCGGAGCTACCGCTACAGCATGAAGTGGAGCCTCAACTTCTCAACGGGAACGACTTGAACGAGGAAAGGGAAGACGCAGACGCCTCAGAATCAGTAAAGAAAAAGAGAAGAAAGAAGAAGCGGAACAAGGCCACCGCACCAGGTAAGAGGCATCACTTCACCTTTAGAGAATCGTTGAGAAAATAGTGCAAAATAGTCTCTGGTGCCTCTCGATGTAGAGCACTAGCGTCAGATATGCGGGAGAGGAGACTTTTTTCAACCTGTCAGAGGGTATTCCTGTCCAGCTGTCCCAACTCTGAGCGGCTGCTGCTGGAGCTGATGCGCTCATCTGGAAACGGGCCAATCTCTGAAAAACGGAATTTAACAAAACTGACTGAAGAGCTGTCATTTAAAGATATGAGTAAAATATAATTTTACTCTAGATTAAATATGCTCCGTCCCATAAATCCCCCTAAGCTGCATGAAATGATGTAATAGAAGTATCCACAGAATTTCGTGCAATAAGATGACAACCAGTCTTATGCAGAAATAAAAAATCACGATGATAATTGCAGTCTTACTGTCTGATAATGTTGAAAAATAAAATCCCCAAAAGCCTGAGTTGTGGAACCTGCCATAAGTCAATTTGTGGTCCACAGGGCTAAATGTCATAATGCTGCAAGGTACATATGCCCTTGAGGATATGGATCCAAGGTATAGAAAGAAATTATGCACAGACTCTGCCAAGTTGAGATCGTAGTGGATGCACTTTCTTGAGATGACTCTGAGCCACAAATAATTTACTCACTCTGTGTGTGTGTGTGTGTGTGTGTGTGTGTGTGTGTGTGTGTGTGTGTGTGTGCGTGTGCGTGTGTATGTCCATGCCATTGGTGTACACGTGCGTGTTCTCCTGCACATGCATGCACGAGGGTGTGTGACTTTGCAGCAGGGACAAATGAGGCTGAGGGGGATGGAGAAGCCGGAGGTATCGGTGATGTGACAAAACAGTTGGAGCAGCAAACACTGGAGGACAAAGAGAGGGAGGAGGATGGAGAAGAAGGTAACTCCTCACCACCAACCATCAGCATCATCATCTAGAGTTGTGGCTGTGTTGAACTTTAAGCCCGGAAAGTGCACAGGGAAATTCAGCCGGTCATATCTGCAATGTGATATCTGATTTTTAGTAGCACACTGGGAATTTTGCCCGAGCCTCCTGTCGATATTTCTCACTTTACAAACGGTATTGAAACTAATGATGCTTTCAACAGATGGGGATGAGGGAGATAACTCAGCTGGGAAAAAGAAGAAGAAAAAAAAAAAGAAGAAAGGATGTAAGTAGTTTTTTTTCTTATAGTGCAGCAAATGTATCTCTAGAGCAACACACTCTGGCAATGGCTGTTAAATTATGTGCACATTTATTCAATTCAGAATTTTAATTGAAACTGCAATTCACATCACGGTGACAGAATATTTATCGTCACAGAGGCACATCAGATTTTAAAGATAGACAGCGCTTTACACAGCAAAAGTGTTCCAGTGTTTGAATTTTGAACCTATGCATCCTCAATTGACTGCATCAGAATCACTTTAAGTCATTAGGTAAATACAACAGGTGCACAAAAGCAGTTTGACTCGGTTAATTAGTGTCACGAGAGTTGCATAATGCAGCACTGACACGGAAGTTGTCGGACAAAATGAGACAGGTACTTAGATGTCGGGCACACACAATGACATCATATTCAACATAAACACACTACAAATTCAGTGAAAGCTGAGTGAGGTGTGGAGTGAGTGAACTGAAAATAGATGATTCTAAAATGTGTGCTACCTATAAATATATCACTATAACCACTGTATGGAAGTGCTTTTAAATTGCCACAGATTTCCTCCAGCAATTTAATTCAGTGGGTTTCTTTTACTCAAGGGTGTCTTACTTAATTGAATCTTGAAGCCAGGAGGTGCACTGTATTCTCCAGTTAAAATATTATATCATGAACACTGGGGAGGATAACTGGTGTTTTCTTTTCTCTCTCCTGCTGCTTTCATCTGCTTCTCCTTCTCTCTATCTGGGCCACAGTGAAGGGACAGACTGACCCTCCCTCAGTCCCTATTTGTGAGCTCTATCCCAGCGGAGACTTTCCAAAGGGAGAGGAGTGTGAATACCCACCATCGAAAGACGGGTGTGTGACCTCCACATTGTCCCTCACACTCAGCAGTCGTCCTGCACTGTGTGACATGCCCATTGTTTTATTTAGGTCTCTCTGCTTTGCACTTATTCATGTTGGACAACTTAATTAGATGCAATGTTCAGCTTGTGGTTACATTTCCTGTTCAGGAGCAAATTAATTAATTTTGTCAGATTTGGCCTCTGTTGACAAATATCAACACCACTTTCACCTGTGCAGAGTTTCCAAAGAATGTGTCACATCCTCATTACAAACATTTGTATAATGAGAAAAAGAGTCCCTCCTCTCTGTGGTGTGTCTACCTCCCACCAGGCGCAGTGCAGCGTGGCGGACCACCAGTGAAGAGAAGCGGGCGCTGGACATGGCCAACGAGGAGATGTGGAGTGATTTCCGGCAGGCGGCCGAGGCACATCGGCAAGTGCGCTCATATGTCAGGAGCTGGATCAAACCAGGGATGGCCATGATTGACATCTGGTGAGACATACACAAACATTTTGTCCTTGAGACCCTTGGACTTTGGTACCTGCTCATACCTGCTTGGGCTCCATTGAAACTGAAATTGAAATGTTTTCAGCACTTCTTTGTCTTGTGTTTTAAAAAGATCAAAGAAAGCAGGAGAACCTCTTCTAGATGCAGTATCTGCCCTGAAAGCTGTCTTATTATTCCTGTCATCCATTGTCCCTTTGTGCTGCTTTCTGTTTCTGACAGTGAGAAGCTGGAGGACTGCTCCAGGAGGCTCATCAAAGAAAACGGGCTAAAGGCAGGCCTGGCCTTCCCAACCGGCTGCTCAATCAACCACTGTGCTGCTCACTACACCCCAAACGCAGGAGACCCGACCGTGCTGCGCTATGATGATGTCTGCAAAATTGACTTTGGAACGCACATCAACGGTAATAACTTTTTTTAATGCTTTAGAGTTATGCTGTGCCGTTTCACACTTGGCATTTATTATGACATGGCAAAATGATGATTACATTATAATTCTTACTGCCTCGAAAAACTGTTCCTATAAGTTAATTAACTTCTAGTTTTTTAGATTGAAACATGCTGTATATTCCTGCAAAATGATCCCCTCATAGAAACTGTTATTAATAACCATACTTTCTTGTCTTTCAGGTCGAATAATAGACTGTGCCTTCACTGTCACTTTCAATCCAAAGTATGACAGGCTGCTGGAGGCTGTGAGAGATGCAACTAACACCGGCATTAAGGTAACACAGCCATAATGCATCTTTGCACTGCTGGTTACTCTTTACTCTTTTAGTAACTAATATGTACATTATGAGGAAGTAATTATTAAAATAAGAACATTTAAGTGTCACAGCAGCAAAGGACATACAAGTATAGATGCATAGTATCACCTAAATAGCTATGGAGGAGATAACTTGTACTAAAAACAGGTAGCCATCAAATGCAAAAAGGTGTGAGAATTAAATATGCCCATTATGTGCAGAAATAAAGGCAATGGCACAGAAAAATCAGCGGATGTCCAAGTATAGATAAATTACCTTATTACAAAACACATTTTGAGCATGTACTGTATACAAGGCATGAAAAACAAGTATAAGGGGTAGAAAATACCTGTACAGCTTTAATAAGTAGTAACTACATAGTGTAGTAAGACTCAAATAATCAGGAGATGTGGGAGTTGCAATAGATAATGAAATACAAAAAGTTCCTCGTCTGAACTGCCTGGAATGATTCATTTCAGATTAATTTACATTAAGGAACTAATCAGTAGATTCTAGTTTATTGATATAGTAGCTAACTGAGTTATTATATAGTTCTGGATTTAGAGCTATTCAGGAACTACTATTTATTAGCAGTTAGTTCCCAAATGGTTCCTTTTTGTCTAACTACTCAGGAGTTTGTGTACTTTATTGTAGTGTAGGGTAAGTGTTTCTACTCTTCTTATAAATAAGACACATCACAGAAGGGGTGGCAAACATTTCTTACTGGCAAGACTGTCTGCGTGTGTGAGAAATGTACTGATGTGAATGTAAACACCTCTCTGTCTCAGTTTGCAGGAATTGATGTGCGCCTGTGCGATGTTGGTGAGACCATTCAGGAGGTCATGGAGTCTTATGAAGTGGAGATAGATGGGAAAACATTTCAAGGTAATATGAGGTCATTCATCATCTTCTCTTGAGGCACAGTGCCGCTTCCTATTTATCAAACCTCTGTGTGGTGCTTTCTTTATAGTGAAGCCAATCAGGAATCTCAATGGCCACTCTATTGGACAGTACAGGATACACTCAGGGAAGACAGTTCCCATTGTGAAAGGCGGAGAGGCCACGAGGATGGAGGTTTGTACAGCAGCTTACTCGATTCCACTTCGAATCTTATTTTATCAGAACAAAAATGTGAATGTGACTAAATCCTGGAGATAAAAAAACAACACTGCAGCTTCTTTTTACTGGAGTGTCTGAAATTAAACCTTTACTAGCTGCTTGACCTTGCCAATAAATAAACCCTTTTTAATTCTCAAGTGTAATTGGAAGAACATGTCGGTGGTTAGGGTTACAAGGGATATGAAGAAGTGTTCCAATTTATTGCTCAAACAGCTTCTTGGTCACCCTCGTCAGCACTTTAATTACACCTCTAATGGAATTACCAGCTGCATCGAGTAACAACACGTGTTCAAACTCCAGCCCCTCATTTCACTATAAGAGCACTGGATTGTGGGCATCCAGAATTCATTAACAGGCCAGTACTTCACCAAGGAGAAACTTGGCTTTGTAATATCTTGCATTTTCTGAGACTACTCTGAGATCTATGCCTGCCTTGCAACTGCACAGCTGCAGTACATGACCGTATTTGGACAGAACTAAGCATTTTAATTGGCAAGTTGCTGCCTCAAGCTTTTTACCTGATGGTTACAGAAGAGTGAGTGGTAAAGGGGGGGCAAGGGGTGCTGCTGATGTGGCAGCTTTGCATGTTGTATTTTTAGCTGAAGTGTGTTGGTGTAACAGAGCCATTATCCTCTTTGTGATCGGAGAGAGCGCGGCAAGAGTGGCAGCTGGGCGTGCCACGGGGCTGCTAGCACTTTGACTGATTATCGGTGCAGTGAGAGTTGGTGTCGCAGTGTTATCAGCTAATACCACAGGGACTCCAACAACACTCACGCACTGATAGAGACACAAACCTCCAATGAAACCTAGCCAATCAACTTGCACGAGGCGCTGCTCCAGAAAGGACACTACTGTCCTTAATAGACTACACATGAATATGTCAGCCGCTGGCATCTTGAGGCTTTTGTTAAATTTACTGTGAGTCCCCCAGGAGTGTTTTTGTCCTTTCAGTAACATCATGATTACTCAGCTCTGCATGAAGGTGTATAGTTTGATTCCATGACCTTTTCCTACCTATAAAATACATTCAAAGTAATTCTATATTTTACATCAACAGCCAAAGTGTCTTTTTTTGCCTTTCAGGAAGGTGAAGCTTATGCCATAGAGACATTTGGTAGCACAGGAAGAGGTGCAGTCCACGATGACATGGAGTGCTCACATTACATGAAGAATTTCAATGTTGGACATGTACCTATAAGGTTGGCTCTGCTGTTTTGATCTAAGCCCTGAAATGCAAAATATTGATTCAGAAAATGTATTTATAGGTTAATTTGCAATCCATGATTCTAACAAAAGAGACCATGAATAGAGCATCATATCTGCATGTTAGTTTCTACAGAGTCGATCTCCACTTTGTGTCACTGTTGACTCTATGTTGTCACTGTGCTTCAGACTTCCAAGGGCTAAACATCTGCTGAATGTGATCAATGAGAATTTTGGCACTTTGGCATTCTGCCGCCGCTGGCTGGACCGCCTGGGCGAGAGCAAGTACCTGATGGCGTTGAAGAATCTGTGTGACCTTGGCATCATAGACCCGTACCCACCACTCTGCGACATCAAGGGCAGCTACACCGCCCAGTACGAGCACACCATCCTACTCAGGCCTACCTGTAAGGAGGTAGTGAGCCGGGGAGATGACTACTAAGCACGCGCCAAATACTCAAGGCAAACCGGGAGGAGCATGACAGCTCAGAGACCACAAACCTCTGCAGACTCATAGCAATTATGCAATATTTCTCAGACCTAAATTTTCATGGCTTGAGTACCTTTAGGTAATTATTTTAGCAAGGGCAAAAGACTTGTGTCATGGCAGTAGCTTATTAGTGCTTTTTTTCCCAAAAGATCAAGCCAATAGACAAAGGACATATCTTTAAGAAATGTAGTGTTGTTATTTTAGTCATATTTTGATGTGCTGCTTTTAAGAATTATGCAAAAGAAATATATGCAAAATAACAGGCGAACACTGCGCCTAATACAGATTTGCTTCATTGCCTTGTTAAGACCTTGTGAGAGAATTTCTATATTTCTTTGCTCCATTTTAATTTGAGGCAGTTTTATAAGAAATAAATTGTTATAAATCTTGCACTGATTACTGTGTACATATTTGTAAAGGCTTAAGAGCTCAGCATACTTAGTTACTTTAACAATGTCTGATGAAGTAAATGTGTATTTCTCTCTTTTAACCAAGGGAGGGCAGTACTAAATCATGGGTCAAACATCACTTAGCCACCTCCACTAGTGAAGATGTTAAGTAAAACACATTAGGCTATTCATGGCCTTGTGCTTCAGCAAAATGTCACCATGGAACAAAATAGACTTTTCCCAGAAGCATTAAGAATGAGCTCACTGACATGCAGTTTAGATTTTATTTTAAATACATATAGGACACACAGAAATATCATCACAAATATCACATTCATGTCAGCGTACATTCATGCACCCATAATAACCGCTTTGTCCTTTACAAGAAAATTTCTCACCTCATTTTCTGTTTTTGTGGTAAAGTCTTTGGGACAAGGACATGGGTGATGATGTCATGGTTGAGGAATGCATCGTGTCTCTTGAGTTTGTCCTTCTCCTTGGAGACGGCGGACCAGGCCTATTCTTAACTGTGCCTGGCTCAAAAATGGCCTGTGGACTCTGGATCTGATATGCTGTGATGTCAATGAATACCCAGGCTTTTAATACATATTTATTTTGGGGCAGCTGGAGTCACAGGCCAAAAAAAGAGAAGCATACGTTAAGAGAGTGTGTGCTCTCTTTCTCACAGACATGCACACATGCGCACACACAGTTTCGGGTCCTTCTCAACTGAATCCTTCTCATATGAAAGCAGTAGGAAGACAGCAGAAAATCCTCGCAGAATCAGGTCTGACTTAAGCAACCAGACAATGATCCACTCTTGTAACTCAATCCAGAGTGTTTAGCCAGTTGCATGTACTGTAGATCAGAGAGGGTGGAGCTGAGTGTGTTTTGCTCTTGTCAGACAGCAGGCGGGTGAGTGTGTCGGAGCAGAGCAGAGCTGTTCAGATTAGGCTGCCTGATTCCTGATTCCTGATGTTTTTTTGTCCCATCCTCTCCCCTCATCCAGGAGTTACTTGTTCTGACCTGCACAGTCGTAGACTCCCTGCCAAGGACATCAAGCATATGCACTCATTCACGCTCACACACAATTTCTGATGTTGACTCATTCATGATTTATCACCAATATCTGTGAGACAACAAGGATAATTCAGTCTATGCCTTTGTAAGATTTCAAAGTAAACAGCTCTCAGTGAAATAGACACAGAAGGCCGTGACAGTGTTTTGGCTCATCAACTCTGACAGCATCTTTGGCAAGGAGTATTTAACATGCATTCCTTATTGTTCTATAAATAACCTGGAAAGAATTATAGGCTGAGGCATATCATACAGTAACACAGGAATGAAAGTCCAACATCCACTTTTCGTCTTTGTCCAGACGAAAGTCTTTATGGCTTGCTTTGTTCTCTTTGATTCAGTAACTGTAGACTGGTGAGGTACAGTATCTGCTTATTTCTAACAACAACCGCAGCATTGTAGGTTGCAGATGTTTCTTGGGGCTGTGGACTCCACTTTGGAAACAAAAGAAACAGTGAAATCCCTGTAGTAAGCATGGGGTTTTGCTTTCACTTTAGCATCCAAGCAATGCCTAAATCAAACAGTCCCTCTAGCCATTGCAGTCCTTAGCGATGCCCTAGCGGTGGCCACAGTCTTTTCTGAGGATGTGTAGGATTTTGCGTCCCAGGCTTGATTTCCAGGGTTTAACCAGGCTCTTGGTGTTGACCATCAGTCGGCCGGTCTTCCAGTCCTCATGACCAGCCACTACATACTCAAATCCTGGTGAAGAGAGTACAGAACATAAACGGAGAATGATACTAAAATACACAGAACAGGAGAAACATTACTGTGGAAGCATCTTGTGTAAAAAGAGCACACATCATTATATAACTATAATCAACCACTTAAATACTTTGCTGCTATGGGCTCGCTTAGATGAATGTTGCCAGAAATGTTTATAGTGAAAGTGTTAGATGTAAAATATTCTCATAACAGAGAGGTGGCTCTAATACTTAAGCTATAAATGCCCATTCAAAATGAGTGATGCTAGGACATTAGCATCCATTCAAAGCTTGTGCGAGCAGCGACATAGATCCTCCATTTAGCACAAAGCTGGCAGATTGTCCACTCAAGAGTCAACTAATTAATAAACTTCTGCCTTGTGAGCAATAAAGCTTCTAATTGGAGGTAGCTGCAGCTGACCTGGATTGAGAATGGGACAGGTACAGCCTTGGATGGTCCAGGACTCTGGGTAAAGGGTGATACTTCCCCTCTGGATTTTCATCTGAGGGTTCTGATGCAAGACCTTCTTGACTTTGGCCGCCACCTCCACATGGGAGCCTTTATCATGAGCTGACATCACTCTCACCACCAGCACTGCCAAGGCAACACAAATGTTTACTCATTCAATTGTCATTTACAAATTCACCATAAACAGCTTAAAACTACAAAATATCAATACTGACTTTCCACTTCTTCACTCATCTTTGCATCATAGTTAATTTTCTAACACATTTTTCAGGTTAAGAGGAACTCCACAAATTTTATACATACAAGCTTCTTTACTAGTCATGAGGAGAATTATCAAGCCTCTGAAAACAGTTGTATAATGTCTTCTGCTGGAGGAGCTTAGCAATTCTAATGACCAGAGTGATGTCATCAGGATGTTTTTCTCTGCTTGGGTTTTACTGATTGCACATTTTTACAGCCTATATTATAAACTTGGAGTATTGAACTACTAGGCTGCTATGGTCTGTTGGGATGCTATCGAGTTGCAACGTGGGAATTGTAAGATCCAGTGCTGGATCCTGTTTAGGGAAGTGCGCAACTAAAATTTAATTAGAACGTCTTTTAAAAAGGTACCATGTAGCATTTTTAGTAATTATAGACAGATCTGTTGGGTTTTAAATAGCCAGAGAATCCATTATGTTGTTAATTGGCTTCACCCTCCTTCACTGCCATGACTGCCTCACACAATACTGAATCAATTCCCTTTGTCAAATCCCACTTACCGTAGTCATACTCTGCAGCACAGAAGAGTTTGGGGCTGCCAAGGGTTACTTCTACACACTCACATTTCTCTGGAAAAATTAAACAGTAAGATTCATATAAATCACTTCATCATGATGTATAGATTTCAAGATCACAGCAGCTGCCTTTTCTTTATGTGGGTTGATGAGTGTGCAGTGTATTAAGTGTGATATGACCTGTGACTCACCAGAGTGGTGCAGTGCAGAGAAAAGCTCCTCTAACCTAAAGAGTGCCGTCTCACTATTATTGCTGCTGTGTCCCATGTGGCCAGTGGCTGTATAGAAGACCTCCACATCTGAGCTGTGCCGCAGAAGTAAAACCAGTCAGCGGCAGGGCTCCACTCAGTGTCAATCATCCAGAATGCACTCTACCTCTACACCATACATCACATTATCCAAGTACAAACACATGAATATGATATTACATCTTGGCACTCACCCAGAAATGCAGTCACCAGTGTAAGGGTCACAGTCCCCTGTACAGTCACATGGACGACAGCCGTATTCATGAAGCCCCCAGTATCCCAGCATGCAGCTTTCACAGTGGGGGCCTCCGACACCGGGCTTGCAAGTGCACTCCCCACTGCTAGGGTTACAGAGAGTGCTACCTCCTGAGACGACAGAGCCTACAGGGTGGCAGGAACAGGCTGCAGGGGAGAGGGGTGACAGAACCAGAGGACTGCATGTTAACATTTTTGTTTGTAAGTCAAAAGATGTGTCTCCTTTTCTGGCACAGACCTAGAAGCACTCAGTAAATATTTTTGATACACTGCATGCAAAGGACAAACACACTTGAAGAAGCACAAACAAGCATATTGAGAGCATACATAGGGAACTCCCATGGCACTATAAAAGTTAAATATCTTATGTCATCCTCTTGTAACAAGCGACAAGCTGAGTGTATGTCCTCAACATGCTTTGAACAGCTGCAGCAAACACAAACAGTAAATCACTCCCTCTCTACGCAGTCAGACCTGCTGCCTGATGGTCTGTTGTGATGACAGACTGATTTCTGTTACAGACTTGCTTCATCTGTTTCCAAAAATGGCATGTTTGATCTTTAAAACGTTGCAGCGTGCCTGGCAGGGGGAAAGGGCAGGAATGGGAAAAATGTGCTCGCATGGTCCATGGGAAATTCCTCCATTGTTTGAAATTACAGTCACATTCCAAAACAGTGCGGCCTCCGTCATTCCTGTTAAGGAGCAGACTAGAGTCATCTTACTCTCTCATCAGTGACAGGGCAGTGACTCATAAAGGTGATGGGGGGAAAATAAAGTTATCAAAAGAGATCAAAATGCTTTAATCTGCAGGGTCAAAAGAAAAATTAAATCTCTATTACTGTCCTCAAAATATCAAAGGCTGCCCCTCTTAATTAGAATTCTCCTCTGGCATTCATCCAGACAGAGTTATGGGTTAAGGAAAAAAGAAGCTGTGCTCTGAAGAAAAAGAGTTTAAGGGCCTTACGTGTGCAGGAGTCAGGGGCCGTTTTTGGTCGGCTGGGGTCTCTAAAGAAGCCCTTCACACAGTTATGGCAGTGCCGGCCCTCTGTATTGTGGCTGCAGTCATCACACACCCCACCACTCCGCCGTCCTGTTGCTAGCCACAATCCACGACTGAAGTGACAGCTCTTGGCATGACCATTACACTTGCACTCTAGGTTTAGATGGATATGTACAATTAAACAGACAGAGAGGGATTTCTTTTCTCAGCTGATCTTTGAACTTCCAAAGTCCTAGTGATAGCAACAATAGCTCTTAGAGTGGATGACATAAAAATAGGAACTGTTCTGTTATTCATCATGCATGTGCATCTAAAAGGTTATATGTGATTTATGACACTAAATTAATTTCTGAGATATGACTACATGCTGCGTGTCCTACTCTGCATTTGACTCTTTAGCCCCATCACTCACTCTGGCACTCATGCGGTGTCCCAATGATGCCGTTGGCAGCCTGCCAGGGTTGGTCATTGTAGA